TGTGTCCAGATGTTTCTGGGCTGGCCGTTGCCTCTTCAGTCACCATACTGCACCCCATCCTCTGTGCCTGCCAGAGTAAGTTTTATTTCATCGTTTCAACTGGTCACAGTTGAACACTGGTCACCCAGTGTTCTTGGTCAAGGGAGTTTATTTCATTGCATGCCTCTATCCCCAGCCTGGCTCGGAAGACAGATGAAATTGGCGCAGACTCTCGGCATATCACCACTTTAATTGACGATGCTGCAGGAGAACATGGCTTTGGTCCACTATCCAGAGGAGCTTCTGCTCCTTTATCCTGTGAGATTATAGACTCACGTGCTCTCATCTCTGGTAAAGCAAACAGCTGCATGCCTTCAGCAACAGAGTTGTCCTGCTGAAAATTAGGGCATGGAGGAGGAGCAAAGCAGAAAACCTTTGGCATACTAAAAGTATTCTTGGATTGGACACAAGATGCACAAGTCATAAAAGAAAGTTAATCATAAGATGGATTTTATGGAAACTGCTGCTCTTCAAAAAAATCATTAAAAAAAATGTGAACCACAGGCAAAAGACAATATTTACAAAGATACAACTGATAAAAGACTTGTTTCTAGAGGTTATAAAGAACTCTCAAAATGAGCTAATAAGAATATAAACAAATTAAAATGGGAAAAAATTGTATAGACTCTTCACCAAAGAAATACAGTAACAAAAAAGCAAATGAAAACTAAACTCAACATCGTGAGTTACTAAAGAAATCCAAACTAGAGCTTTGATGGTGGTTCAGTGGTAAAGAATCTGCCTGCCAATGAAGGAGACACGAGTTCCATCCCAGGAGCCCGCGTTCCGTGGAGCAAAGAAGCCTGAGTGCCGCATCCGTCGAGCCTCTGCTCCAGAGCGTGGGAACCGCGGCTGCTGAGACCTCGCGCCGCAGCTGCTGAAGCCTGGCCTCCTACAGCTCGCGCTCCGCTACAAGAGAGGCCACCACCACGAAAAGCCCGGGCACCTCAGCTACAAGGCAGCCCCCACTTGCTGCATCTAGAGAGAAGCTCGAATAGCAGCGAAGACCCAGCACAGCCGATAAATATATTAAAAAAGCAGACACTTCTTTATATATACACATATGTGTGTGTGTGTAAAGAAATGAAATCTAAACTAAAATCACAATGAGGTATCACTGTCGAGCAATTAAAATGGGGAGAAGATGGGGAAACTGATACTCTTACGTCGTTTATGGGAATGTATAATGGCACAGCCACTTTGGACAACATTTTGGCAGTTTCTTATAAAGTTAAAGATGCAATTATCATATGTATTAGTTTGCTCGGGCTGCCACAGCAAAAGAGCACAAACTGAGGGATTCACTCCGCAGAGATGTATTCCCTCAAGGCTCTGGAGGCGGGGAGTCCAGGGTAAGGTGCCAGTAGGCTTGGGTTGTCCTGAGCCCGCTCTCCTGGGCTTGCAGGTGGCTGCGCTTTTGCTGTGTCCTCACATGAACTTTCCTCCATGTACACACGTTCCCAAGAGCTCTGCGTATCCAAATTTCCCTGTCTTATAAGGACACGGAGATTATATTAGCATGCACCCTAACTGCCTTTTTACCTTTAAAGGACTTATTCCAAATACAGTTGCATTGTGAAGCACAGAGTTAAGACTTCACCATATGAATTTAGGGGAGACACAATAAAGCCCATGACACCATACATCTCTGTGATTCCCACTTCTATGTGTTTATCCAAGAGAAATGAAAACATTTGTCTATACAAAGACATGTATGGGAATGATTACAGCAACTTTATTCATAATCACTCCAAACTGGAAAGAACCCAATGTCCATCAACTGCTGAATGATAAACAAATTGTGATACATCCACATGATAGACTGTTCCTCTGTGATTAAAAAAAAAAACAAACTACTATTATAAGCAGCAATGAGTGACTCTTAAATGCTTTATGCTAAGGAGAAGTCAAGACACAATAAGCTACAAACCCTATGTTTCCATTTATATGACATTTTGGAAAAAGCAGCACTGTGGGAACAGAAATCACATCAGTGGTTTCCTGGCACTGGGGCTTGGGAGAAGGAATGGAATACAGAGGGTCATGAGGGAACGTCTGCTGCTGCTGCTGCTGCTAAGTCGCTTCAGTCGTGTCTGACTCTGTGCAACCCCATAGATGGCAGCCCACCAGGCTCCCCCATCCCTGGGATTCTCCAGGCGAGAACACTGGAGCGGGCTGCCATTTCCTTCTCCAATGCACGAAAGTGAAAAGTGAAAGTAAAGTCGCTGTGTCCAACTCTGTCCAACTCTATCCGTCTCCTATGGACTGCAGCACGCCAGGCTTCCCTGTCCTTCGCTTCCTCCCAGAGTTTGCTCGGACTCATATCCATTGAGTCCTCCATGATGCCATCTAAAGAGGCATGTGAGCCCAAAATTTCCCAAGAAGTTATTGATAACAGATTCAACTTGTACCCAACATTTTGTCTTAGACATAATGTATGTTGAGATGTTAAGGAGAAAAACAATTACTCCTCCCCCAGTATAAACAAAATAAACTCATAGTCACTCTCTGAGAAGGGATGACAATAATGAGAGTCCACCTATGAAACTACTGTCCACCCGTATCTCTGTCTGGCACAGCTGTGTGGTCACTTTGCAGGGAGGAGGGTATGTTGATCTGAGCCCTTCTGTGACCTTGAATTTCACTCTTGGGAGAGTCACACACATTCCACTGCTAAGCTGTCTCATTTCTCCAAAGGAGTCATTGCATGTTTTGGGGCTTCACTTTCCCCACTCTTGGGAAGTATATATGTCTTGGGTTTTTCAGAAACAGATCCAGTGTTTGTTGAACAAGAAATGATGACAGTCAACATTGTTTGGATGCTTACCATGTGCTGCCCACTCTGCTGACAACTTGCATGTGTGATGAGTGCTCATTTTGCTTTCTCAACACCTGTTTTGTAGGTCAAACATCTGACCCTTACAGATCGGCTGGAGAAGCAGACACACCATAGATCCCATTCATGCCCTGCCCATTTTCCCGTCGCCCTGACTGCCTCAGTGCTCCTGGCCTGACTCCAGCTGCCTGAGATCTTTCTCAGCTGAAACCCTTCTTTTCCCCCACATGCAACAGGATGTAAATGACTACTGTATGGTGCTGAGCGAGAGTCAGTATGTAAACGTCCCAGCTCCTTGGCCCTTTGGGTGGGATAACTCTGGAGTCAGCTCTCAACCAGCTTCCTGGATTTCCGCAGGGAGTTTACCCCTCCGGTGCTCACACCGTATTTAGTGGCCCCTCACCCCGTCTCACTTCTCATTCTGCCCCGTGCTTACTTCCCCGCAGAATAAACCACCTGCTCCCCAGTCCTCACCTCTTGTGCCGCATCTGGAGTGGCTCAAACGGAGGGCTGTAACGGCGCCTTGGGGAGTTGCTGCTGCCGTAAGCCCGAGAGCTGGTTCTCAAAGGAGGCTCGGGGACCACCTGTAGAATTAAAATATTTTTTTTTAAAAAGCAGAGAGAATGTCCTAGAAGGTGAGAAGGAAGAGACCCCATGGAGAATTGTCATGCTGAAGAACAGCCTTCTGGAAATGCTGGGGACTGAGTTCAGCATTTAATCATGAGTTTAGGTGTCTCCTTAGTGGCGCGGCACACACGTGTGAGCAGTTGTCGTAGTTGAGGGAAGAACACTGCAGTGACGCCGGCCAGAGAGAACTTGTATAAGATACAAGCCTGAGCCCGAGGTGGGCATACCAAATCCACCGGGATGCTTTGGTTCCCTCCGTAATGATGATGATGTTTGGTCGCTTAAGTCGTGTCCGAGCCTCTGCGACCCCATGGACTGTAGCCTGCACCAGGCTTCTGTCTCCACGGGATTCTCCAGGCAAGAATACTGGTGTGGGTTGCCATTTCCTTCTCCACAGGATCTTCCTGACCCAGGGATTGAAACCATGTCTTCCGAATTGGTAGGCACAATCTTTACCGCTAAACTACCAGGGTAGCCCTCCTTCCGTAATTGTTGTTGTTCAATCTCCAAGTCATGTCCAATTCTTCTCAGTCCCATGGACTAGAGCACACCAGACTTTCCCATCCCTCACCATCTCCCAGAGTTTCGCAAGTTCATGTCCATTGAATCAGTGATGCCATCATCCTCTTCTTTTGCCTTCAGTCTTTTCCATCATCAGGATCTTTTCCAGTGAGTCAGCTATTCCCATTAGGTGGCCCCAGTATTGGAGCTTCAGCTTCAGCATCAGTCCTTCCAAAGAGCATCCAGGGTTGATTTCCTTTAAGATTGACTGTTTTGCTCTCCTCGCTTTCCAAGGGACAAGTCTCAAGAGTCTTCTTCAACTCCACAGTTTGAAAGCATCAATTCTTCAGCATTCTGCCTTGTTTATGGTCCAGCTCTCACATCTATACAGGATTACTGTATAAACCACAGCCTTGACTGTATGGAACTTTGTCATCAAAGAGATGTCTTTGCTTTTTTATGCACTGTCTAGGTTTTTCATAACTTCCCTGCCAAGAAGCAATCATCTTCTAATGTCATGGCTTCAGTCACCATCCACAGTGATTTTAGAGCCCAAGAAAAGGAAATCTGTCACTGTTCCATGTTTTCCTCTTCTATATGTCATGAAGTGATGGGACCAGATGCCATGATCTTAGTTTTGTTTTGTTTTTTTGATGTTGAGTTTTAAGCCGACTTTTTCACTCTCCTCCTTCACTGTCATCGAGAGGCTCTTTAGTTCCTCTTCGCTTTTCTGCCATTAGAGTGATATCATTCACACATCTGAGGTTATGTTTCTCCCAACAGTCTTGATTCCAGCTTGTAACTCATCCAGCCCAGCATTTCACATGATGTGCTCTGTTTATAAGTTAAATAAATAGGGTAACAATAAACAGCCTTGCCGTACTCCTTTCTCCATTTTGAACCAGTCATTTGTTCCATATGGAGTTCTTACTGTTGCTTCTTGACCCTCATACAAGTTTCTTGGGAGACAGGTAAGATGGTCTGGAATTCCCATATTTTAAAGGGTTTTCCACAGTTTGTTATGATCCACACAGTCAAAGGCTTTAGCGTAGTCAGTTAAATGGAGGTAGATGTTTTTCCGGAATCCTCTTGCTTTCTCTATGATCCAGCGAATGTTGGCAATTTGATCTCTGGTTCCCCTGCCTTTTCTTAACCCGGCTTGAACACCTGGAAGTTCTTGGTTCATGTAATGCTGAAACTTAGCTTGGAGAATTTTGAGCGTAACCTTACTAGCGTGGGAGGTGAGGACAGTTATTACGTGGTCTGAACATTCTTTACTACTGCCCTTCTTGGGAACTGGAATGAGAATTGGCCTTTTCCAGTCCTGTGGCCACTGCTGACTTTTCCAGATCTGTCGGCATATTGAGTGCCACACTTTCACACCATCATCTTTTAGGATTTTAAACAGTTCTGCTGGAACTCCGTCACCTCCACTAGCTTTATTGGCAGCCCACTTGGCTTCATACTCCAGGATGTCTGTTCTGAGTGAGAGACAACACCATCATGGTTATCCAGGTCGTAAAGATCTTTTCTGTATAGTTCTGTGTATTCTTTCCATCTTTTATTGATCTCTTCTGCTTCTATTAGGTTTTTATCATTTCTGTCCTTTATTGTGCCCATCTTTGGCTGAGACGTTCTTTCAATACTTCCAATTCTCTTGAAGAGATCTTGAGTCTTACCCTTTCTGTTGTCTTCCTCTGCATCTTTGCGCTGTCCATTGAAGAAGGCCTCTTGTCTCTCCTTGCTGCTCCCTGGAACTGTGCGTTCGGTCGGGTGCGCCTTTCCCTTCCTCCCTCGCTTTTGCTTCTCTTTTCCTCAGCTATTTGTGAAGCCTCCTCAGACAACTACTTTGCCTTCTTGCATTTCTTTTTCTGGGGGGGATGTTTGTTCGTTGCTTCCTGTGCAGTATTACGGACCTCTGTCCATAGTTCTTCAGGCACTGTGTTTACTAGATTTACTCTTGAATTTGTTCATCATCTCTACTGTATATTCATAGGGGATTTAAGTCGTACCTGACTGGCCTAGTGGTTTTCCCTGCTTTCTTTAATTTTACTATGAGGAGCTGATGATCTGAGCCACAGTCAGCTCTAGGTCTTGTTTTTACTTCCATAATACCACCTCTCTAAAAGCCAGTCCTCCTCCTGAAGTGGAAAGAAAGCAAATGAATCATGTGGCCAGCTCATGTGATGACATCTGACAGATGGTTCCAGATTCCTGAATGTCTGTGGTCTCCAGGTCCCTAAGCCAGGGCTGGGTAAGCATCAGTTCTGGGAAAGGTAGTAGCCCAGACTCTAGGAACAGCTTCATCCTGACTCCAAGGAGATAGCTGGCTTGCTGATACCTCAAATACACCTTTGTGATATCCTTCGTGTGTGGGCAGTAATATCTTTGTTATGGTACTGTCATGAGTAGTAAATGACACAATGTCTGTAAAGCAAAAGCTCATCACAATGCCTGGCACATAACAATTAATGGGACCCCAATGAGCAAAATTAGTTAGTGCAGAGAAGTGATTGTGTTCTTGGTCTAAATAATGCTGACTTGCTTCGGAGGAATGATTTTGCTCCAAAACCCTTGCTTCAGAGGAATGATTTTGCTCCAAAACCTCCATAAAGTCCCCACAAAGTAGAAAGCATGATCTTCCCTCCCCAGGTAAAGATTTTAGGAGCTGATGTATGTAGAGTACCAAACCTGATGCTCTCATCAGTTTAATCAAGTGACTAAATCTCAGTCTGAAGTCATAGGAAGAGATGTCAGTCTTGAAGAGAAATGGATCACAGCTTTCTCTGAGTGGTCTCCCCCTACCCAAGGCATACCTCTGGAGTTGAGTGGGATTTCACTCTGAAGCTGAGGAGCTTTTATTTCAGGGTTCCTTGAGGCCCCACATGGTACTTCAGGATTCCTGCCTGACCCTTCTAGGGCCCAGAATTCCATATTCACACCTTGGCTTCGTTTTATTAAATGGGGCTCCCTCTCCAGCTGAACAAGCTTCAGTCCCCACCACTGGCTGGGGCAAGGGTCCTTGATGGGAACACTGGCTCACAGCCAGAATCCAGGTGAAGCTCAAGAGTTAGTCCAGGCATAAATTTCTTCCCAGGCTCATGGTGCATTCTTTCAGATCTTCTCTTCTTCCATCTATCTTTTCTCTCCTCCCTGCCTCCCTCCCATAACAGAGATGCAGATTGTTCAAACGTAGAAGCATCAAGGTTTACCACCTGCTTTCTGGAAGAAAGGAAGGAATTTGCTCAGCGGCTTAGTTGAGCTAGAAATTAGGCTTCCTGTCTTCCAGTTTAAAGCTGTTTCTCATACTGTACCCTTTCTTCCTTCTTTGATCCCTCCTTCCCTCTCTTCCTCTTCCTAGAAATAAAGGAGTTCATCTTTTCTTTAAAAGGAAGTCACTTCGTGAAAGTGACCAACAAGGGGCAAAGAATGTCTGACTTTTTTATTCTTCTTTTGCGTCCAGTTCTGGGATTCAATTGTTTTCACTGGCCTTTTGTACTGTTAGTTTATAAAAAAAAAATCAATAGTTTAATATAGAAAAGAAGTCCCCTGGCTATCTGTTTAGAGCTGTGTTACCTTCATTGCATGGCTCTGGTGCTGCCTGCCTGCCTGCCAGGAATCCCTAACTCAAATTGTTTAGTGTAACACCAGCCCAGCTCTCTGGAGCCGGTCCACCAGATGCAGGATGATGCTTGTAGTAACATCATTAATGGAACTCAGATGTGTCTAGGGCAGAACACTTCTCAGAGATGTTTATGTATGATGACAGTGATATACATTGTTGATGTTGTCCAGTCGCTAAGTCATGTCCAACTCCTTGTGGCCCCCACGCTAAGTCCACGGGGTTGCAAAGAGTCGGTCATGACTTGGTGAGCAAACAACGACGGACTGTACCACGCCAGGCTTCTCTGTCTGCTGCTGTCTCCTGGAGTTTGACAGAATCCAGGTGAAGCTCAAGAGTTAGTCCAGGCATAAATTTCTTCCCAGGCTCACGGTGCATTCTTTCAGATCTTCTCTTCTTCCATCTATCTTTTCTCTCCCCCCTGCCTCCCTCCCATAACAGAGATGCAGGTTGTTCAGATGTAGAAGCGTCAAGGTTTACCACATGCTTTCTGGAAGAAAGGAAGGAATTTGCTCAGTGGCTTAGTTGAGCTAGAAATTAGGCTTCCTGTCTTCCAGTTTAAAGCTGTTTCTCATACTATACCCTTTCTTCCTTCTCTGATCCCTCCTTCCCTCTCTTCCTCTTCCTAGAAATAAAGGAGTTCATCTTTTCTTTAAAAGGAAGTCACTTCGTGAAAGTGACCAACAAGGGGCAAAGAATGTCTGACTTTTTTATTCTTGTTTTGCGTCCAGTTCTGGGATTCAATTGTTTTCACTGGCCTTTTGTACTGTTAGTTTATAAAAAAAAATCAATAGTTTAATATAGAAAAGAAGTCCCCTGGCTATCTGTTTAGAGCTGTATTACCTTCATTGCATGGCTCTGGTGCTGCCTGCCTGCCTGCCAGGAATCCCTAACTCAAATTGTTTAGTGTAACACCAGCCCAGCTCTCTGGAGCCGGTCCACCAGATGCAGGATGATGCTTGTAGTAACATCATTAATGGAACTCAGATGTGTCTAGGGCAGAACACTTCTCAGAGATGTTTATGTATGATGACAGTGATATACATTGTTGATGTTGTCCAGTCGCTAAGTCATGTCCAACTCCTTGTGGCCCCCACGCTAAGTCCACGGGGTTGCAAAGAGTCGGTCATGACTTGGTGAGTGAACAACGGCGGACTGTACCACGCCAGGCTTCTCTGTCTGCTGCTGTCTCCTGGAGTTTGCTCAGATTCATGTCCACTGAGTTGGTGATGCTGTCTAATCACCTCATCCTCTGCTGCCCCCTTCTCCTTTTGCCGTCATCCTTCCCAGCATCAGGATCTTTTCCAGTGAGTTGGCTCTTCACATCAGGTGGCCAAAGTATTGGAGTTTCAGCAACAGTCCTTCCAAAGAATGTTCAGGGTTAATTTCTTTTAGAATTGACTGGTTTGATCTCCTTGCTGTCCAAGGGACTCTCAAGAGTCTTCTCCAGCACTACAACTTGAAAGCATCAATTCTTTGGAGCTCAGCCTTCTTTATGGGTCAACTCTCACATCTGTACATGACTATTGGAAAAACCATAGATTTGACTATATGAACCTTTGCTGGCAAAGGGATGTCTTTACTTTTTAATATGCTGTCTAGGTTTGTCATAGCTTTCTTTTCAAGGAGCAAGCATATTTTAACTTCATGGCTGCAGTCACTATTCACACTGATTTTGGATTGACAATATAAATGTTTAACCAAACTGATTCAAATTAATAACTGCAATATTCAAATAGGTAGGTTAGGCAGCATTATTTTTACAATGGTCAGGGAAGCAGCTATACATCAACTCATATCTCCTCTTCAGCATATTCACACAAGGAAGCAATTATCCCCATTGTATAGATGAAGAATCTAAAGGCTAGGAGCTCACATGACTTGCCGAGGGTGCTGAGGCAAAGCACAACTGGATAATAGCATCTCCTTCATCTTGATAAGAGCTTCCTTAGTGGCTCAGATGGTAAAAAACAATCTGCCTGCAGTGTGGGAGACCTGGGTTCAGTCCCTGGGTCAGGAAGATCCCCTGGAGAAGGAAATGGCAACCCACTCCAGTATTCTCGCCTGGAGAATCCCATGGACAGATGAGCCTGGTGGGCTACAGTCCATGGGGTCACAGAGTTGGACACGACTGAGCAGCTCACGCTTTCATCTTGATAGGACCCATAGTTTCTGTACTTGACCTTAGGGCTTCTTGGAATGTGGGAAAGTACAGTCCAGACAGACTATGTGATGATCTCCTAAACATCCTCATCTTGGCCTTAACCTTCTTCCTTGTTTTCTCACCAACACTAGACAACAGAAGATTGGGTTAGCCAGGTGGACCCTTGAGTAAAAAGCAGCACAGTTTTAGCTCCACAGTAACCCATGACCCATTCTCTGACTAAGATGAGAGGGGCCAACTGTACTCTTTCCTTAGGACTTAAAACTTGAGAGACTCAGAGGGTTAGCCAGTTGGTAGTGATTTCTGGTGTCGGAACATCTTGCGGATACTATGGTGGGTGGAGTGCTTCACGGGTTATGCTCAAGATGAGACAGCAGATAGTTCACAGGAAATTCTCCCATAGTGCAGTCTGTGGAAAATACTCAAGAAGGGACAAATATAGTCACTGTATTGATTTCCTAGGGGTGCTGTAACAAATTATCCCAAACCAGCTGGCTTAAAACAACAGAAACGGATTATGTCACAGTTCTGGAGGCTAAAAGTCTAAAATCAAGGCGTCAGCATGGCTGTGTTCCCGTCTAGGCTGTAGGGGAGAGTTGTTCCTCAATTTCTTCCTCGCTTCAAGTGGTCACCGGCAGTCTTTCATGTTCTTTGGCTTGTAGATCCATCACTTCAGTGTTTGACTGTCTTCACGTGGTGTTCTCCCTTTGTGTTTCTCATTTCATGGAGTGTTCTTTTCTGTGTGTGTGTGTCCAGATTTCTGTCTTCTTATAAGGGTACCAGGAATTGGGTTTTGTTTCACCATAATCCTGTATGGCTTCATCGTAACTTCATTACTTCTGGAAGATCCATTTTTTCAACGAGATATGAGATAAGATTCTGAGATTCTAGGGGCTCATGAACCATGGGGAAGAGCAGTGTTCAACCTTGTGCAGTTACTGTCACCATCATCATTGTCGTCACTATGTAAGAAGTGCAAGTTGCCCGGTAAGATTCTGGTACAGAGTAAGTGCTCAGTAAATGGTAGCCTTAAATGATAATGCCCACAGCACCAGCAATCACAATGGCACTAATAAATAAGATGTGCTGGTCTGTACTTAGCTGCTCAGTCGTGTCTGACTCTTTGCAGCCCCATCGACTGTAGCCCGCCAGGCTTCTCTGTCCATGGGAATTCTCCAGGCAAGAGTACTGGAGTGGGTTGCCATGCCCTCTTCCAGGGGATCCTCCCGACCCAGGGATCTTTGCAGGCGGATTCTTTACCAGCTGAGCCACCAGGGAAGCCCAAGCATCCTGGAGCGGGCAGCCTGTCCTTTCTCCAGGGGATCTTCCTGATCCAGGAATCGAACCGGGGTCTTCTGCATTGCAGGCAGATTCTTTACCAGCTGAGCTACCAGGGAAGGCCCATAAATAAATAAGATGATACGTCTAAAATGTCTAGTATCATACTTAGTGTATATTGGGGCTGTTTATTCTCTTCTTCCCCACAGTACCAGCACACAGAGGTACACACAGTGGGGTGCTCAATAAATATTAGTTGAAAAAACAGCACATTTCAGTTTCTTAGAAAAAACTCCACCATTTATCTCCAAGAAATTGACATCAGACTCAGGATGGAGCAGCCAGCGGGGCTGTCACCTGAGAGCGGGAGGTGTGAGTGGATGACAGGCCAGCTCTCAGCTGCGGGCGCTGATGGCCACTCCTAAATGAGACAGAGTGAGAAATGAGCTCAGTCTGCGCAGCTGTAGTTTAATCCTTCCCGAGCCCGTGGGGCCCAGGACAGAGACACCTGCTGATTTCAGGTTCCTTTCTGGAAAAGGCACATGCTGGTTTTGGTTTAATTGTGCAAAGGTGATCTTCAGGACCCCTCAAACCCTCAGCAGTTTCCAGCTCCACCTGGCAGAGAGGGGAATGGAAGGATTTGAAATCCAAGCCTGACTCTGCCCTAGGGATCCAAGTGGTTATGGACTGATTCTTTTCTTTCCATGATTCCCAGTCTCCTCATCTGGAAAGTGGACATGATATTCTCACCACTGGGCTCTCTTGAGGATTAATGAGATGGTGGGTCTAAAGAGAACTTAATAACCTGAAAAGAAATGCAAGCATGTTACCTGTCTAGCAGTCCCACTCTACCAGATCGAAACTTCTCCT